ACTTTAATCTGCATTCAATAATTTACTACGAAACCAGCAGAAACCGCTCTCGCCTCATACGTGCGTACATATATTAAAGCCATGAACAAAAATTATAAAACAAACAAGTACGAAAATTATGTTCGTTTGCGACCGATTCTCTTATACCCAACATCGTTATGATATAAAAAATTGAAAAAGAGGAAGAGAAAGGAAAATATAATGATAATAATAATATCGAGTGGGCGTGGCTGATTTTTTCTGTTTTTGTAGAAAATTCTTGTATAGATTTATATCGTCTACGTCTTGTAATTTTGGGCGCAACAAGCAAGAGCAAATCTATTCTCGATCTTGATTGTATACACATGTAGGCGTTGTAGGCGTATTATTTGTCCTGTTTGAGCCCTATTCAAACTCTTTTGCAAATTTGCAGGCGATATCTTTACGTTTGTGGACGGAAGGATATTTGCTGCAGATGCTACGCAACCGCGTAAAAGGACTTACGAGCCGACGAGCAGGCGGACATACTTAAGAGCATTTCAAATTTACTGAAAATAAGTTATAAAGATATTAAAAAAAAAATCATGATACTCAGCATTACTCATGGAATACACATTCAGAATCATCAGTAATGAGCGAAAAACCAATTTTTTATTCCACTTAAAAACGAGACGTGTACTCAACGTATGTCGTACTGTGAGCGTGCTCTTCGATCGATGTGTTTCATTTTCAATACCAACCTGTGTGCAGGAACTTCTAATATTTTTCTTAAATTTGATGTCGATAGCGACCAGGAAAATGTTCACCGTAGACATTGAAGAGACAGGCAGACAGACAAATGCAAATTTTTAATTCAATTCAGAATTTAATGCTGATCAAGAATGTATAATGTGGGGTCTCTGAAGCCTCCTTCTGGGCTTTCCAAGCGCTTTGGCGAAATGAATATACCGCTCTTACTGCGGTGATGGATATAAAAATAGTTTCACTTTCAGAATATATATATATATATATATATATATATACAAATTCAGTCATTTATCCATAGATGGTTTTATGTGCACATCGTTTATCCACATATGTGCATAAGTTTTTGCAAATTTGAACGCAAAGCATACAATTATTTTGCTGATGCTGTGGGCTATTAGTCAGTTCAACGTTGAATTGTAAATGCAAGCATTTTTGTGTTAAAAATAATATGAAAAAAAAAAAAAAACGAGAAAAAAGATAAAACATGTCTATGCTTGGATATGCAAATAGGTTTAAAGAAGTAAAGTGCAGATACCAACACACAGACACATGACATTTGTTAGCACAACTTAATACATGCTATGTCTGAATATGCCAATGACTTTGAAAATTTGCACGATTCTTGCCACTATCTGACTGTCAAAGCATATGTCAGCAGTTCATTCACGAATAAATGGTGTCGGCAATATTTCCATGCTGGTGCATGACTTGGTTTCCACTTCTGAACGTTAACTGAAAATCAAAATGTTTTCATTTAACGCAAAAAATCTACAATCAAATTGCAATTGCTTATGACTTTGTTCGCACTTCCCTAATACGACATGAACCATGAACATGAACACTCTTTATCAAGAGCTAAGCGTTTTTGCCAATAACTTCTCTCTTGATGAGTCAGTTTAATGTGGTTTGATTTTCTTTTTCTTTTAAATTCGATGGATTAAATCTGCTAACATTCAGATTGATATATGTGTGCACATACATATCTAACATGTGTATGTATAGGAACTTCCTATATATATATATATACATTTATGTGCAGACTGTTTACTTGAATTAACTCATTTTTCTTTTCACATTTCGTGGCAAATTCTTGTCAAAATATTGACTGCTTGTTAATTTTACTCTTGCGATGACAGAATTAATTAAAATATTTTCAAAATATTTTCTTGCGATATTTAAAATGCGTAGTTTTAATGCATCACTATACAGTTTACCGCATGTATTACTTCGTTAATTTATTCAAGAAAAAACCATTCCGACGATTTGAGAAATGGAGTAAATATTGATTTAAGCGAACGATAAAGTCTCGCTGATAATTAAATTTTGATGATCTGGATGGTTTTTGGAAATATTGAATAAATGTGTGCTTTCTTTTCAAATTTCCTCATAATTAAAAATTCGCAATACAAGGCAATATCAATTCGATATCAATTTCAATTTATTTATTTTATAATTGCAACGCTTATAAACCGTAATACTGTTCAACTAGTCCGGAAAATGGGAACACTTTGAAAAATTAAATTATTATCCAGTAATTGAGCGCATAAAACTGTAACAATAGTTTGCCAAAGCAAAACAAAACCTATCAAGAATAAGCAATCAATGCCTATGTGCACGTATAGATGATTATTCAAAATTATTAATGTTTGCTTAAAGAGACTCACATACAGCTCTCTCTACACTCCTTTAAGACTTCAATCTTATCCCAGAAAAGCCAAATTATCATAGATTATATTAGGAGTTATTGCTTGGATAGAATTACCAGAAGTTTTTCTATATACTTCCCTTTGTCAGATATGTAGCTATAAAATATAGTTACTTCCCTTTCAATACAATATCGATTCACGCCAATGATGCCACGTTTCTCTTAATGAATAAAAGCAATCGTGCCTATAGTAAGCAGTAAGCGAAAACATTTAAGGATATTGTAGTCGATGACTCGTGTTGGTAAAGAATACACCAAAAATTTCATATTATTTTCATGTTGAAATATACTTTTTGGAAAAGCCCGCATGTTGGAGGATGTCCGATACATTACATGGCCTGGTCCAAATTTAGAAAACTTAACTTATTTCCCAAAAATTTTATTATTTGTCGGTTTCCTTTACAGAAAACTAGAAATTATACCTTCGCTCCATATAAGGCTTTGCTTTTCATGACAACCCTTACATATGTTATGGTCTTAAAAATAGATGTATGTGATCCAAATGCTGATATTTGTTATTATTAAAGAAGAAATAATAGGAAACAGAATGCTTACAGGAGATATGAGAAAACGCATGGGAAAAGAAACTATAAAAATTACTATAAAAATACGGACCTATGCATTTTATTGATCCGAAAGTATACGTATGCAAAATACGCTTCTGATTAAGATTTGGATTAAAAAGAATCTTTTTTTCAATATATTTTTTTAACTTTGCCATTATTTCTCGAGCACAAAATTATTCAAACACTCTCCACTAGATATTTTGTAGGACTGGATCCTTTTGAGATCATTTTCGATAATTTGTCTGCACATACCGAGCAATATCTTGGCCGTAGGTTGACATATTAGTGAGATTGGAGCCCATATAGGTAAATATGCTCAGGAAATGTTTGCCGTCAGAATCGCAAATGTCGTGTCCTTCACGCTGTGAGCAGTGGGCATGATCTCTTTTGATTATCAATCATTCCGGTCGATGGCACATGATCACTCTAAGCAGAACTTTACATTGTATGAAGATACCATAAATTTGGTCGTTTTGTCAATCGAGCCTAAACAGATGAAGAGATCTTCTGACATGACATCCGAATGCTGCTAAAAATATGGGCAAAGATAGTGATTAGTGATCGAGGCAAACATAAAAAATAATTCTTTCACAATATTTTCCTAATTTCTCATAGAAATGGCGGATTTGTACTCCTACTACAAATCTTTGTAAGAAATATTATATATGGAAGCTCGACATCATAAAAGAATGGTAAAGCCCATCATTGAAACCGAAAACGGCCATTTTCCATTTCGATTCCTCTACATCGCCGCTAATCCGCTTAACCGACGCTAAATGGCCAATCATAAACAGCACATCACGCGATTATCTTCGTTAGATAGCGCACATATATAGAGTAAATGTTGAGGAATCCATATACTATTTAAATAGTATTGAACTTCAAGCGTAAGGTTTGTATGGGACATTACACACAAAGTCCAGATTCCATTCTTTAACAAAAACAACTGAATCCATCAACAATCGTTGTGATCTTTATATAACATCCTACGACCTTATATTAAAGTGTGCAATCATAGCTTGCAAAGTTATGAAAGAGAAGACATTTAGCAAACACTTAGTAAGTCATGTTCGAGTAATGAATTGCGATTACAGTTTGCACTGGGATATATGATATATAATATAAAATGTAAATAATTTTATTCTCGAATTCAAACGTCGCTAAGCACCTTCTTAGCTACGTAGCGAAATAAAAGCTGAAAAGATTTTCAGATTGAGTTATACGAACAATCGATTTAAGCAAACTATTATCTATATAGCGTTGAAATTAATCAACTCTGTGATAATTTAAGAAAGAAATTTATCGATTTCTTTATTGCGGGCTATTCAATAGACCGAGCATTACACGTCTTACTCAAGAGATGCATATATATGCCTATACTTAAACTTCGACAAACTGAGTTCATTTTTCAATTAAGAGAATATAACTGTTTTATGACCTCGTTCTGTCCTACCAAAGAGACATTTCCCGAGCGTTATCATTGAGATGTTGTCGCGCGGTAAAATTCTACTCGATATGATATGAAATCATTCATATAGACAAATAAGTCGACTTTAATCGAATCGTTTTCCTTTCTCTTATTTCTTTTGATTAAAAAACGCTTCATTCGACAAGGTTGTTCATCATTCTTTTAATTAGCATTTAAAAACATGCAATAAAATATTTTATGAAAGTTTTCATAAGCGTAAGCTCTCTGTATTTTTATATGGATTTATTGAAATTTTGAAAGAAACATAATTGAAAAGCAAAAAGTAAATAAAATGTGAAAACTAAAAAGAAAGAAATTAATTCGATGTAATTACGGATCGTAATGTCTATTGATGATGTCTATGATATTTCATCTACCTTACCGGTAAATATTAATATTGTACCACATATACATTTGCATGTACAGGCGTGTCTTAACCCTTCAAGTTTTTCTTTCTTTACAGTATCTACTGCTGTACGGAAAGTAAAAAAAAATTCAGTGCAAGTCAAAGATCAGGTGATAGAGTACTCAGAAGTCACTCAGAAGCCTGAGGATTATTAAAATGGACATTCAACGGTAATTGATTATTGCATCTTTGTTCCGTTTCACATAATGACGTCGAGGACGAATTGGAGACCTTGCTTGCAATTCGCTTAACTCTTCGATTGCGTTTTATTGCCAAATACATTGCATCATGCGTTCGCAAATGCCTCTTAAGGTAATCCTTACGGCAAAATCTTTTCGAACAGTTATCACAACCATGAGGCTTCTCTGTATGATTGCTCTCTACATGCTTTTTCAAATCATATTTATACCAATATTGTTTGGAACAAAATTGACAGCCGTATGGTTTCGACCCTACGTTGTGACGTATTGCATGACCGTATAACTCATCTTCGGTCTTAAAGTGTTTACCGCATTGATTGCAACGGTGTGGCCGAAGCCCGGAATGTCGGGCTACGTGATGTTGCTTTATATACGCAATCCCGCTGAACTCTTTATGGCAGGGGATACACCTAAAGCGACCATCTGGTAATGCAATACAATCAGGTAGACTCGGGCTACCACCTAGTTCCGCGACTACACTGATCTTGGGTTTATCTAATTGTTGGCTAGCTTCGCTATTAGATAAAACTAGCGATACGTCACAGGGCGTAGAAAGTTGTTGTTGTTGTTTCTCACAATGGTTATCAATATTAGTACGGCCCGCCGAAGAGTCTAGCCTGAGAAGAATCTCTTGTAAATACGAATGGGAGATACTTGGATCGAAATCGGGCGAATATTGCTGTTGCTCAATATGATGATAACTCGCATTACAGTCTAAAATGGAAGTTTCCGTCGATTGATGTTGGTGACCGGAGATTTGGTTAGTAACAATATTATGCGACATGATTGGAATTTGATGGAACGTGTTGAGGCTTTCAGTTCGATATGTTTGAACATTTTCTTCCGCTTGCACTAGATAACGATGGTTGACAGGGAGATCGAAATTAGTCAGAAGTTGACGTTCCTGTTGCCCCGTTGGGTAATAAATTCCGTTCGCGTCTAACGCAAGATGCGAAATAGGCGTCAATTGCCCCGGCTGTTGTATAGTGTGTGCGGCAGTACAACGCATCAGCTGCAATAACTGCACATTCGGCGGAAATTGACACTGCTGTTGCCCGGGATTGTGATAAGTTACTGCGTTATTTAACATCGGGTAGGCATGAAATTGATGTCGTTGGGATGGCTGTTGGCCACAATTATGAAGTCCGGCTGCATCGAATTCATAATTCATATTATGCTCAAAGCTTATCGGAAAGTTTTGCATCATTTTTGATATATTTGCAGTTATTGAACACCGTTTCGTTCAAAATGATTTCCGTAGCTTTTATTAGAATCAAACTCGTGAATCAGTTCGTGGTTGCCGAGATTCAAGGAAGAGTCAAAGACGGTCTCCTGGTTGCGAACAATCCAAAAATATAAAGACTTTGACGATTTGGCGCAAAACCTTCTTTTCGCACTATACTTCACTTAAATATTATTTTTTTTCCAAAAAATATTTTTGAATAAATTTTGCCGACCGTCAGTACGTGTTGAATATGGCTCGCACCGCTGGACAGTGAATTTAAAACTGCGTGAACTTAACCAAGAAAGCTAATGTGACTATTCTAAGTTCACTTATTCACAGATTTCGAAAAATTTATTCCCAACGATTTTACTAATGTCGCCTTTGACGAACTGCTCGGTTATAACTTTTCGAAACAGGTACCAAATTACTACATTTTGTTGTGGCATTTCCGTTAATCCGCTTAAATTAAATCTACTTCTTCGGGCGATTTTCTTAATGCCTAATTGTGTAAGGCGCCTTTGCGATATGACGCTGCGAGGGTTAAGAACATCAAAAATCTCTTTTTTCGTTTTATTACTTTTGAAATATTTTGGAAAATCCGTTTTCACCAAAATTTCGCAATTTCCATACACGCTTCCGTCACTAAATATATATGTTTCACAAAATTGAATAAAGCGCGTACCAAAATTTATTTACTCAATAAAAAAAGAATTACAACTAAAAGAACACAATTTCATTATCTATTTAATTCAATATTTGCCAAACATTTTTTGTACCTGTAGTGTGAAAGTTGAAAATTTCCAAAAAAATAATAACAATGATAGTGTAAATGAAGAAGAGAATTTAAAATGATTACAACAATTTTGGTGAATGATTGCCGCATCATGATGATGAAAAGAATGCAATAATAACGTAAAGTAAATCATTATATTGCTTGTAAAGCAAAACCACTTTTTCTGCTGGTATTTGTGAAGCGCTCTAAAATTATTGAATAGTACAAATAGGCCCGAGATATCAAGTATTTGTTAAATGTTTCCGAATATCCTTCGGCTTTCTCTTTAGACAAATTATATTATAAGCAATCACATATATGGAATTCATTGAAAGGGATTTAGCTGAGAGTGTACGCACACTACAAATTACGTATATGCTTTGCATTATCCAAACTTGATTATACCCGGTTAAATTTAATACATTTATAGACTTTGATCCACGAACGAGTGCTATTCAAAATGCAATTGATAGGACCATAAATGCATGTAAAAAGCTTCAATGGAGTGGAAGGTTTTACCTGAACCCTCGCTTTTGTAGGAGTTACAATAAAAAAGTTGCGTTCATATAGTAACGCGAAGTAGGTTTTAGTGTTTCTCGACGGATGTTAATTCAAAAATGATACCTTGACTTGTAAGTTTGGACTGCTTAGGTACATTTTTTGAGCGCCTTTCCATATCAGATCTCTCATAAAAACTAAATACCAACAAAGCGACAATAAATAAGCGGAAAGTGTAGGGTATTTAAAAAGTGTGCTTATTGAATCTGAATTAAGCAAAAAAAATATGCCAGAGTTTAGAAAGCAAACATAGTCTCTGCGATGTCCAACTTCTCCCCAAAGCTGGTATACCATATGTCAAGTCGAACCCATTAAAAACTTTCATTTCGTACAATAGCGCATATTTCAAATCATAGGAGTGTTGCTGGAAATAAGCGATGACATCGAAAGTGCCGAAACAAGCGAAAAGGCCGGCCATTGCTTATTTATTTTCGACATAAAGTGTCAACAATTGTACCTTGTGTCGTTGAACGTAAATGCATATATCTTGACGGGTTTCCGTTAATTAACGAGCTCCAAATTTAATTTCTTGTCAACGGATTTATTGGTATTCGCCTAAAGCCTTCCTTTTCATAGGAATTGTTATACTGACTGAGGTCTAAACAGTTGATCGACATAGTATACATATATTAATTATTGAATTTCTATGTCATATTACTATTATCGATTAGGTGACGTTAAATATTAGACCTTTTTGCCGTGCAAATATTAACTCTTTGCCATATCGGAGGAGGTTCCAAAAATTGACTCATCCGATCCAAATTTTCCTCGTCTATTTAGAATGCTTTCATTGAACAATCTTTAGTATTAGTTCAGTATAGCTTCGTTGATAAATTACTAATAATGACAAAGTTATATCAACGATAATTGTGAATCAAAATTAATAAAAAAATGCTGTAGAAGTAAGACAATAGAGTAACTTTCGACACAAAATAGTTAACAAAAATTGATATAAAGACAACTTAAACGAATTACATAAAGAATATTTAAAACTTAATTACTAATTATATTTACGAATTAAAAATGTACTCGGACGGACGGATTGCCTTGAAAAATTCCATAATTTTATATCATTATAAACAATATGCTTAATGACATACTAAAGTTAAACAATAAGTATGTGGATGTAAGAGCATAGAGAGAGGATCTTGTAAATGAAAATTACATTTCTATCGTATTTTTGCTCGTTGAAGACTTCAGTTCCTTTCTTCAGGCATAGTGCACGTTATCATATACATCTACAGGCGTTCCCCGCTTAACATGGCATTTGGAAAGCACGATTTCGACACGGCATAACATTCGCAAAAATTATAACACGGTTTCGATTCAACACGATTTTAAAAAACCGAATATGGTTTTTTTTTTCAATTGAATTTTGCTTTTAATATACCCATCGCGATGAGGGGTATATTCATTTTATCAACACGCTTGCAACACCCAGAAAAAAGCTTCGGAGACGCCGCATCAAATTCGGAGTCGATTTAAGCATGTCCGTCCGTTCATTTGTCTCTTGCAAACATCCTCCCGGTCGCACAAATAAAGCTATCGGCTTCAAATTTGACTAAATTATTGGATGTTGTTGCACACAGATCGATATTGAAAATGTGCCCAATCAGTACAAGCACACGCCTATAGTACTACGTAAATTAAAAACACCTTTCTTTTCCACGAGGAATAAAAAATTGGCTTTTTGCTCGTTGCGCATCAAGCTACAGCAGATATGTCTACGAAGATTTGAACATGTACTCTACGGCCAATGAATTCATATACAAAAATGGGAACCGCACGGACGAGATATTATGGCCTATTAAAATTGAATTTTTTTTTAATAGCTTTACAGTGCATAAAAGTAGGCTTCAAAAACCTGATAACCTGATGTAGAAATTCTTGGCCAGTTTTTGAAAACTGATATATATTTTGTATATAACAGCTATTCTCAAAACAAGCCGTTATAAGGGAATTGGATCGTAAAAAATAGCCCAATTCATTTTCAATACGTTTCGTTCTTACGTAATACATTTCGTCAAAATAATATAAAAATTTTCATCTATCAATGGAACATAAAAATACATAAAGAGACATCGGACAAATCGACAAGCTCCAGAAAATAATTCTATATTGATTGGAATAATTAAAGGTCGGTCTATATCAACTCACTCCAGAAATTAAATACATTCGTACCAACTAAATGTACTCAGTATATAAATAAAGGAAAAGGGTACAATCTAAACGAAAAAAGACAAGATATAGACCAAATTTGCTCATTAAGATCTAATTTTAAGTCTTTTAGGTAAACAAACACAAATTTCACAAACGGATGGATCCTATTATTTATGTTGACCAGATACATGTCTATGTACAGTAAGCGGTGGCATGCGACTTTTTTACGCGCTATTAATATTTGACAAATTAAAATAATCAGTGACGAGCCCAAGAAAAGCAATTTGCCAGATAAACTATCCTAATAGGTCATCTGACAGCTGCATGCTTATCATAAACGTCTTTTCGACTGTTGAGGACGTGACTAGGAAATTAGAATTTAATAATCTAATGAGTTCGTCGAGTTTCACGTAAACTTTCATTTACAGATGGAAGCAAAAAACTCTTTTCGACAGCACTTAAGGATGAGAGTAAGCGTGCCTTTCCATCCGTCTCTCTGGCCGCGTGTCCAGCTATGTGTCACAAACGTTGTTCTAGTCTCAAAAATTAAGATATCATCTTCAAATAAAGTAAAACTTGCACGCAGGTGCATATCGAAAATGTGTCAACGCACAAGCTTACAGCATGAACTGAGCATAGCTCTACTTTAGGGCCTTTCTGCTGATTGCTCATAAGTTATAACAGACACAATACTAAACATTCTCACGTATATTTTATGGACGATCCTGTAGTGGTTGTACAAAAACGGAAAGAAATCGGCTGCGGCCATCCAACGTTATAGCTCATTAAAATTTAATTTTTGTTGTCGGTTTGCTTTGTGACTGCTTTCCATTAAATATGATCGGTGTAAAAGATTCGGCCATTGCCGACGATAGCTTTCGTAATTGTTTATTTTGCTTTTGTTTACGGCTTCAGATAATTAAGAGATCGTCATTATCATGAGAATCAGATGCATTTATATATGAAATGTTGGATAGTCAAACAAAGCCCTCGCCAGCATATGTTTTCGAAATACCTAAGTACATGTATGCATGCATAACATGGGTTTTTTTATATCAACAAGCTTAGAATGACCTGTGTGCGATACATGCGACGTGATGTTTGTTTAGTTAAACATCCGTAGAAAAGTAAGTGAGAGAGAGAGAGAGAAATCATTGGAAAAATATCCGTGAAAACATTGAATTCCATGTTGATGCATTTCTTATGCAAAAAGCCTAATGCAATCAAACAATGCTGTTCATTCATTCATTCATTCATGTAACATATGTATATTCGCGAAATGCCTAGCTTGCAAAGCATCGGTATTTATATACGTATGTATATATATATATATATATATATATTTGTCTGTGGCAATTAACCGCACAAAAGCAAACCCTCGTAAATAATTCGATGCGGTTGAAATGGTAGTAAAAAGCGTTAGGTGTTTAATTAGCTAATGAGACAAACAAAAAATGTTGATATCTATACGGATCTAAGCATCTCTAAGTAA